CTAGTCTTTAACTTTCCTACCGGGGATCAGCTGGGCACTCCAGCTGATCCGGGGCTCCTAATGTGCTGCCCCTTTGAGGCACTGGTACACTGTTTCCAAGGGGCAGCACGCAATGTGGAGCCTGGGATCAGTTGGGCACTCCAGCTGATTCTGGGTTTTGAGTTGCATTGCCACACTGATGTGCCACCGCAGCGCTTGAAAGGGGGCAGCGCTCCACATAGCCCAGGGTCAGCTGGGGACTCCAGCTGACCCCGGGCTCCACCTTGCGCTGCTCCTTGGAAACACTGCTCCGGCACTTCAATGGGTCAGCGCTGCATGGAGCCTGGGGTCAGCTGGGGACTTTAGCTAATCCCAGCCTTCATGCAGTGCTGCCCTGTTGAAACGCCGCGGCAGCATTTCAAAGGGGAGGCGTGTGTGATTAACTCTGATTACGTTTTTTAATCGCTTGACAGCCCTAGTTAATTGAAATAAATATGTAAAAAGCAGCATGGGGGTGGGGAAGCTGCGGCTCCATGTAAGCTGGTAAATGTGGGGAACCAGTTTAAAAGCTGGCTCCTGACTGCTTACCCTCTCCCCCACACACAGAGGCAGCAGTGCAGGGGTAAGAGTTGCATCTCACCATGCACGTTAACCAATGAGCCCAATTAACCAAGTGAATAGTTACATTTGCACGGCCCTAACCACTACATCAGGGCTACTCAATTTTTGAAGGTCTGGGGGCCACAATGATACTCACTGCACATGCCAAGGGCCACAACTTAAATGTGGTTGCATATACATCCAAATATATATGCAAATAGCTTCTTTCATACTGAGGCAAGAATACAAAGATTAAGGCAAGACTACACAACACGCAGGATCCATTTAAGTCAGTTCTGCTGATATTAATAAATGATATATACACCAGATTCCCACCCATATGACAGAACTTTTAATGAGCAACGACAGTCCAGGAATTTAACTACTAAAACGCACGTTAACAGAAGACCATTATATTGACAACTTTTTTGTTTTGGCTCCCACCCATGGGCCACGTGTTGAGCCCCACGTAAACCCAAACTGCACTGTGAGCAACAAACAAATGGGTTGGCCACGTGTTGAGTAGTCCTGCACAACATCATCCTATATGAAGCTCTCCTCATTTATATCACGATACCTACAAGAAATTGTGTGTTAAGTAGTGAGGCATTCATTTTAAATGAGTGGTTCTCTATCAGGGGTATGTGTACTCCTCAAGATATGCAGAGGTCTTCCGGGAGACACATAATCTCATTCAGACAGATGTCTAGTTTTACAATAAGCTACATAAAAAGTACTAGTGAAGTTAGTACAAAAACTAAAATTTCATACGATTTGTTTATACTGCTGCATGTATACACTGAAATGTAAGCACAGCATTTATATTCCAGATGATTTATTTAATAATTATATGGTAAAAATGAGAAAATAAATAATTTTTCAGTAATACTGTGCTATGACATCTTTTGTATTTTTATGTCTGATTTTATAAGCAAGTAGTTTTTAAGTGAGGTGTAACTAAGAGTATACAAGACAAACCAGACTCCTAAAAGAGGAACAATAGTCTGGAAAGGTTGGGAGTCACTGGTTTTAAACAATAAACATTAGTTACCCTCAAAAAGTGTGTAATTTTATACCTCTTCCACTTTTCTTGGTATGTTTATTGTTTTCTTATATTATAATATCTTTGAGGACTTTATTTTCATATATATTTGGATAGGAGCTATTGAAATTTAGGCACTTACTTTTATTGCACTAACTCAGTTTGATTTAAAAAAATCCAACTCTTGCTGCTGAGAGTGTTGTACGGATCTTAACATAGCAAAAGCACTGCATAATCCATAGCAACATAGACCTAAATTCTGCAACAGGGACCTCCAGTTTCTACAATATTGCAGTGAGGCAGAATAAAATGTCTGTGTCACCTACAAGTAAGTTCAAAATTGGACTTTTTTCCTATTTTAAATTGAAATGAGTATCAACACAACATCATTCACGTAACCAATTATTAAATATTTTAACTTGCAGTTTTCTATGCACCTCATATCTCTGCAGTGACAACAAAAGAAGTTATATTGTACAAGATGTCATGGGAATTTGGAAGTTTGACAGCTTAGTACGGAACTTTCAGAGCTTTTGCCACTTAGGAAGATGTGGGACCTAGTTTGAGTTTGTGGATAAGCACATTAACTGAAAGGGGCTACGAAAACATTCAACAATATATTGACATTTAATAAGCAACGGGTTTCAGTACCAATACTCCACTGAATAAGGACAATTTGAATGTCAGAGCTATTGACTATAAATTCAAAAAGATAAGAATATATCAATTTATTCTCTAATCACATTTAAAAGGGTTTCTTGCTTTGTTTCTGGTTTTTTGGTTTTGGTTTTTTGTAAACCATAATGGCTTAATTTATTTATTTAAACAGAGGCCAAGATCTTACAGCATAGTTCTGCAGTAAGGAAGCACAACAGCAGCTTTGGATTACTCAGAGCATTGATTTAACTTTTCTTCAAACGTATTTCCCTATTTTGATCTCAAATTAAAAGATACAGTTTAGTTCATTAACAACTGCTATGCAATAGGTTTTTTTAAAAACCCTTTAAACAATCCCCCTTGAACATTTACAATTCAAAACACAAAAGCAGGGATAAGTTGCTTTTGTGACAATTATAGAGCTCTCAGCTCTTCCAGAAGCTGGAAGTTAGAAAGCTCTGTAATTCTATTTTCTGTTAATATATGAAGAAAAACGGAAAAAAATTCCAATGCCCATTTCATAACCTTTTTAATTATTTTACTACAATTATGAGTTATGTTTCTTGTTATACTAGATAAGCTTTAGAACCGTGGTCCCCAACCCGGTGCCCGCGGGCGCCATGGCGCCCACCGGGCTCTTTATATGCGCCCGCGGAGCCGTAGTCCCCAACCCGGGTGCGCCGCACGTGCCCTGGCCCCGGCCCCGGCCTTGGCCCCGGCCTTGGCCCCGCCCTCGGGGGCACTGCG